AAATTCTGCGTCGCTGCTACTTAAGGGGGGAGAGGGAGTCTGTTTAAAAAAACTTCACTTATGACAATTTTTCTTTAAGACAAACTGAAAGATGTGATGAACCATGAGATTCTCATCTGGAGTACGGTTTAACTATGTTTTAATTTAGTTAATAACATTCGATCTTAAAACTTGATCATTTCAATTCGGACAAACTGTAATGAAAGGTTTTGACACCCGGATGAGAAAATAATGACAAAAATATAATACATGCATGTAATATGAAGCTTGAAAGAAGTATCATCTGGCAAGCACTCCTTGTGTTTCAACCTGTTTGCAGGGTGGGGGTACGAGCGAATCATTGAGTACGAAAAGGTTGCTGACTGTGTCAATAGAGGGGGCTGTTTCTTATGTTTTTTTTCTCATGCAGAATTTTTGGAGTTTTTATCCCAGATTTTCTCATTCCCACACAAACTGTAGATTTGTTTTGCGACCTGAGCTGTTCTGACTTTTTTTAGCCTTGAGTCTTGCGCATCTTTTAATACCCAAAACATAACATTCGGACCACGGGTTGCCACGCAGCAAAAAAAACAAAACAAACAAAACTAGAAATGTGTTTGTGGACAAACACAAGCTGTTTCGGATATTTGAAATATTCCGTGCACATGATGAACAATTAGTGACGTCACTACAAATGTCATCTATAACAGCACATTATACGTACATATCAAGTTACAACCAAATCAAGCATTATAGTTCTGTAGATATACTGGTAGGCCTTTAATAGAAAAGTGCCCATTTAATGGACGTCACATGACATTTGATGATGCCATCACTTGAATTTTCATCTGTCACACATCCAGGTATGGGTAACAATCCAATCAGACCTATGGTTCTGTAGATATAGGCCTTAGAAAATGCTCTTTCAATGTGATGTCAAATGAAATGTGATGACGTCATGATGACGTTACTTCAATTTCCATCTGTAACACATCATCAAGGACCATCTTCGGCTGCTGGTCTTAGTGTGTCCCAAGTCTGAAGTTATATATCTGAAGTTTCAGGCATATGAAAGTGCCAAAGTGTATGGTTTGAAGAAAAACGTGTACAAAACCTATTGGAAACAAGTCAGGTGTGTTTACAAACACAAATGCCCTGCAACCGTGACTGTTCCCATGACATAACACCACTCTTTTAACATCAACTTACATGTATACCTTGGTCACATGGAACGTTCATTGACAGCATTAGTGTCTTCTGTAGGGTTTATATGAATTAATCCCTGTGATCTTAGAAAAAATACAAGATTTCTATTGTTTTAGCCACTGTGACCTTGACCCTTGACCTTTCGACCCCCAATGCAATAGGCCTATTTGGATTACCAAGAACGATCCACAAACCAAATTTGAAGTTCACATGTAAAGTATTTCTCAAGTTATCACGCTGACAAAATTTCTTTTGTTTTAGCCACTGTCACCTTGACTCTTGACCTTTTGGCCCCAAGTGAAATAGGCTTCTTAGGATTGCCAAGAACAATCCACAAACCAAATTGAAGTTCATATGTAAAGTATTTCTCAAGTTATCGCGCTGACAAAATTATCGTTTCAGCCACTGTGACGTTGACCCTTGACGTTTTGGCCCCAAATGCAATAGGCTTCTTAGGATTACCAAGAACAATACACAAACCAAATTTGAAGTTCATATGTTAAGTATTTCTCAAGTTATCGCGCTGACAAGATTTGTCCGGACACACACACACACACACACCCAGTCGTTTTTTGCTATGCTTCCGAGGATTGGCTTTGTGTTTTCCTTTGTCCCTGTAATATAACACTCTCCCATAGACTAAGCACACAAACCTGCGTTCGAGGACAATAGGCACCTTCCTTCAAGGATCAATGGCCCCTTTGTGCTCCTTTTGTTGTCTGTCCTCAGGCGTAATGCCATGCAGGAACACACACCCACCCCCAGTCTTTTTTTTACTATACGCCTGAGGTCAACTATTGTGTTTTCCTTTGTCCCTCTAATATAACACATTCCCATAGACTAAGCACATAACCGTACGATCGAGGACCGGTTTTAACAATAGGCACCGTCGTCCGAGGGTCAAAGGCTCCTTTGTGCTCCTTTTGTTGTCTGTCCTTTTGTTGTCTGTAATACAATACAAGAGCCCCCACACACACTTGTTTTACATACGCTATGTGGACATTCCTTTGTTTTCGTGTAGTTAAGAAAACTCGGTACAAAAAATAACTTTACTTAAACTGTGAAAACTCTTTTAACCCAATTTTTTTTCTATGATTCCCTATAGTGTTTCTCTTCATTCTGCTACCGATAAACCTAACCCAAAAATGCCTCTAAACTTGTTTTCCAGAAAAGGGCAAAACGTTATGTGGACACGGCATAGTCCACATAACGTTAACACAACCTGCATTATGTGGACATCTTTTGTTCACAAGTCCACATAGGGAATGTAAGACAAACTCACACAAACTCACCCATACTTGTTTCACATGACTAGTGTGGACTTTCCATTGCTTTCGTGTATTAAGTTAAGAAAAAAACCAGTGAAAAACTCATTTTTCTCAAACTGTGAAAACTCTTTCAACCCAATTTTTTTCTATGATTCCTTTAGTGTTTCTCTTCATTCTGCTACAGATAAACCTAACCCAAAAATGCCTCTAAACCTGTTTTCCAGAAATGGGGAAACACTGTGTGGACGTGGGGCAAGTCCACACAACGTCGGTGCTACCTACATTATGTGGACGTCTTTTGTCGGAAGTCCACACTGCGTATGTAAGACAAACTCACCCACCCAAACTTACTCTTGAAAACTATTCTCCTGAGGACAATGCTTTGTGTTTCCCTTTGTCCCTTTAATATAACCCTGTAACATAGACTAAGCACACGAACCTACAACAGAGGACCGTTTAAAACCAAAGACCTAACACCCGAAGACTGAAAGGATCCTTTCTTCTCCCTTTGTGTGTCTGTCCTCGGAGGTTATGTAGAACATGTATACACACAAATGTGTATTCACCATTGATCGTGGACGTCCTATTGTCCCTCTTTTGTTTGTACAAGACCCTAATCGTGGACGTATGCTGGGAATCGTGAACGATATTGTTCTCTTTTGTTCTCTGGTATTTGTCGTCCGCGGGTTTGAAAAGATGAACACATACATGCATACAGACACCCATACACAGTAACATATTGTTAATGTACCCTAACTTGGCACGGCCCCTAACGTGGCGCACTTTGATTTTTCCCCTGTAGCGCCTACCTACAGCAAAAGTTTGAACTAAAATTTCACAGAAAGTGACATTTCAATTTCTAAACACTCCCGTTCACAAATCACGAGTTTATCTATCCGTTTCATATATATATCATATATATCATATCCGTTTCAAAAATATATTTCGGCGTGATTTTCCAATTTTATTTCGAAGTGCACAGTGAACCCTTTAAAAACGTCCCCCAAAAATAAGCAAATAATTTTCTGACAAACTTCTAGTTGGTCATGTAAGAAGAGGTATTGGTTCATCAGAATTTATCAACTTTACAGAAATTCTCAAATGTTAATTTGGAATTTTCCGAGATTTATTCAAGTGCGCCACGTTGGGGAACACTCAGCCGACAGAGACTAAATAACACATTAATAAGGTAAAAGTACCAGTATTTCACTGCATGAATTTTAAGTTTGTCAATGAAGTTTTGCAGCAGTACATGAGAAATGTCAGTGTAAATGTCGAAGTGCGCCATGTTAGGGAACACCAGGCACGGTTCTAGAACCAATATTTTGGGGGGGCTAGCAGGGTGGATCCAGAATTTTTTTCAGGGAGGCGTGCTGAAATGTAGACCGGTTATTTTTTCCAGACACTGGGGGGGGGTGGGGGGGGGGGGGGGAGGGGAGAGGCCTCATGCCATTTTCAATGGGGAGCGCCCATAAAATCCTAAAATCATTGACACTATATTAACTAATGCACCCTTGTCACGACTATTTTTTTTAGGGAGACCGTTCGCATGTACATCACAATCCTTCTTTTTGCTAATGCAATTTTTTTTTTTACGGAATTTATTTTGGGGGGGCTAAAGCCCCCCCGTAGAACCGCGCCTGGGGAACACCACTATACATACACACAGAAGAAATCTGCTATCGCAATATCCCCCTCTGGCTTACAGCCAGAGGGATAAGAATTGTTTTTACATTAAGGCAAAGACATGACTGTGTTTTATGTCCCAAGTCCTGATCAGAAAAAAGTGTATACATTCTATGGGATTTGGAATGAACAAAAGAAGAAGTAAAAGAAAATCTTAACAAAAGCAAAGGCTTTTTCTCAACTATGTGAAAAAGCCAAAAATAAAAATCAGAAAATAACAGCATTGCTGTTGAAACCCCTCAACCAGAGTGTCAAGTTATCATCCGGAAACCATTAACCTTTAACTCAACATGGTGACCTTGACCTTTGACCCCAGAACCAATCCCAACATGCCTGTAGCAATGGGCAACCCCCTACCAAAGTTAAACACCAAAATCTCAATTCTAACTCAAGTTATCATCCGGAAACCATTTACCTTTAACTCACCACGGTGACCTTGACCTTTGACCCTTTGACCCCAAACCCAATCCCAACTTGCCTACTCCCAAGGGCAACCCCTACCAATGTTAGACACCAAAATCTCATTTCTAACTCAAGTTATCATCCGGAAACCATTTACCTTTAACTCACCACGGTGACCTTGAACTTTGACCTTTTGACCTCAAAACCATTCCCAACTTGCCTACTCCTAAGGGCAACCCCCTACCGAAGTTACAATCCCAAACAACATTTCTAACTTAAGTTATCATCCGCAAACTAAGCTGCCCGGACGGACGGACGGACGGACGGACGGTCTAGCCAGACGGAATTGTGGGGTGATAGCATTGTGTGTTCCCATTATCCCTTTTTCTAAAGATTCTCTTCTGGGGTGATGTTTTTCTATTTTAAAAATAGTGGGGTGATGTGTCCTGAAAGGAACATCATCCCACAAGGGTGGTATGGTCAGGACGGGCGTTCTAGCCAGACGGACTTGTGGGGTGATAGCATTGTGTTCCCATTGTCCCTTTTTCTAAAGATTCCCTTCTGGGGTGATGTTTTTCCATTGTGTAAAAAGTGGGGTGATGTGTTCTGAAAGGAACATCACCCCACAAGGTGGTCTGGTCAGAACGGACAGACATACGGACAGACGCCGTAGGTGATGACAATACCCTTCGAGCCTCTCGGCTGAGGTAATGACTACCTGTACTACCATTTTTTTGTCTATCCATACATTACATATATTACTTTTTACGTATCGTACACCACATAAAATCTCCTCCACAGGAAAACAGTTAGTAAAAGTGGTATTAAAAAGCTCTTCTGATATATACCTACCAAAAAACATGGCAAACCAAAGGGGGAAAAGTCCAAATGAATCACCTCACCAGGAGAATCTGGAGTAATATTGAGAAAGGAAATCTGTTATTTCCAAGAAATATATGTATTAATTGTTTTGACTCAAAGAATCATCATTTGCCCATTACCAATAACCCCCACCCCCCTCTAAAATTGATAGCATACAATCATGAGACGAATTTGAATGAAATGTATATAACATTGATTGCAAAACGACGAAATTGATTCGTACGTTCGACAACTGCAGACGACGAAACTGAATTGTCTAAAATGAGCGACCAAAGACAAAATTGAACATGGGGTATGTAAGATCATGAATTTTCAAGACGAATTTGAAGTAAACCGTTTATGAATTTGAATGAAAACAGTTTTAAAATGTGCGGGAAAACCTATACTACATGTACTGTATGCATCACCTTGAATTGGACTATTACCCTGCATGTAAACCCTACGTGTGTGTGGCAGTTCCTTCACAAAAAAAAGAGACCCTATTGTTGACAACCATTCGTCCATGAAAGCAATCCTACAGTAAGAAGCATGTGCTACCTGTTGTCTAGTAAATGCTGAACACTAAAGGAAAAGTTTTATTCATACAGAATCAAGCATTGATTTTTACTTAATGCTTATACTCCACAGTAAATGCTTTTACTTTTTGCTTTAACTTCCTAGCATTCGCTAGTTTTTATACATACGACCCATTATCTATTTCTTTGAATTAAAAGTTAAAAATAGCATGTACAGTACATCTTTTATGACTTGAAGTAATAGTTTTGTTTTAAGACCAATTGTAAGGGACCTAAAAATGGAACATACAATTACCATTGGTTTTTAGAGGGCCAACTAATTCTAATACCATCCCCTACTTCAGAAAATGTATACTAATTATCATGCATACCAATTTATGCATGCAATTTCTTCCCTCTGGGTATTTTTTTTTTTTTAAATGGCAAGAGAAACAAAAAATGTAAATGTATATAAATAAATAGAAAATCAACTTTTTACCTGTCTGTTTTCTGTATCGTCTTGGAGAGACTCTATCTCCATGTCTGCTCCCATGAAGAATGCATCCCTGTTGAATCCATGTAAAAGAGAAATAATTTATGCCATCTTGATATGAATCGAATACCAGATAATTGCAGTGACAGCCTATGACAAGCACAAACAGTGACAATCAACCCTTCTGTGCGCTAACCAGTCGCTAGAGACTGGTTTATTACAGCAATAATTCTTTCATAACCGGAAAGCGGACACTTGAGGGCACAATTTCGACCCTCTTTTCATGAGGGTCACCATTTGCGAAATTTATTTCAACATTGTTTGAAGTTTTAAAAGCAAAATATTCTGTAAATATTCTTTAAGTGTCAGGATTTGGTTTTCATGCAGAAAAACACTCAAAATTTTGCCCGAGGACTTTTCAGAATTAGATGTTAATATAGACTTCATTTACGGATCAGCCATATCAAATTGAAAACGCGGTAAAGTCTTCATTTTTGAAACTTGTGAGAAGAAACAAAAGCAATGAAATAAAAGTTCAGTACACATTAATACATGTACCAGTCTGCTTTGACGAATAACTTAAATTTGTGATTAAACATACCTAATGTTTTAAGCCACAGTTAAAAAATATTGAAAGTGAGGTTTGGAATGCACTCCAATTAAAATAGTAAAATAGTTATAAAAGGCTTCCTCATGAATAAGGTCTATGGTCTCTGTGTGCCAGCAAGAGAGGGTGCTTTTTTACCACTTTTGAAAGCCCCGTGGATGGGACACACCATGTGTACGTACTGGTTCAAACACGTATATATACATGTATATTTGTTAATATGCACAAAGCCATAGCGTCTCTGTGTGAGCGTCGGGCACCACTTCTTCACAGCAGGATCCAGTTCACCATGGAACAAGAAAGAGATGGCAACATCTCATTTCTTGATGTTAGTTAGGGCCCATAGTTCCATCACCCTCCCCTACTTAGGCACCACTTCTTATCACATCCAACACATCCTCCAAAAGCATGGAATTCCACACAGCCCCTCTGAAGACGTAGAACCTGCTGACTTCACACAAGGATCGGTGTGACCCAGAATGCAGACCAGGGGTGTACAAGATTCCATGTCAATGTGGCAAAGTGTATATCGGCGTGACTGGCAGGGACCTCCCCACCATACTCAATGAGCACAAAGTCCATGGCAGGAAGGGAGACTTCGAGAAATCTTCCATCGTCAAACACTCCCACACTGAGGACCACCCGATCAACTGGAGCCAAGCAGAACTGGTACCCCCGATGCATTAGAGAAGCCATCGAGATCATCAAGCATATGTTCCTCATGTTCCCCAACACATCGGTTTCCCATCTGGCGGCCCATCCTGAAGTCCAAGTCCGATGGGTCTCCTATACCCTAGGACAACTTAGTTTCAGTTCTCGCCTATGGGTCACCTATATGCTGAGCTCCTTCCCCTTTGCCCCCTCACTGTGTACTGACACGCTCCAATGATCATCCAGCATCCCTCAGTCAACTTGCATCCTTCTCAGCTTTACCGTTTCGAGCTTCACCAGTTTGCATCCTTCCCACGCCTCACCACACCCATCCTTATAACATCGCATCATCGTTCCAATCCCTCATTCTCCTGACGACGGGCAGAGCATACTGTTCGAAACGTTGAGTTCCTCCGGTTCTCTTCAGAACCACATATACTCACAAAAGAGATTTATTCACATGGTGCTAACGCAAACTTATCTCGTCTTAGTATCTTTCCAACATGCAAACCTTCAAATCTCATCTCCCTAATGTCACAGCCCCCCTTTAGAGGCACAAATTTATCGTTGCAATTAGGTTATATTTGTTTAGTAAAAATACCGAAATTCATGGAAAAGGACAAGGGAATATTGGGTTAGGGCACATTTAAGTTTGAAAAATTTTGTGCACAAGTCTATGGGGATGTCTCCCAAATGTCCAATCCAGGGTAATTATTGGCTGTTTCAGCAACCAGCCGAAACAGCCTTCTTTGTTTTCGTTAATTTTTAAAAAATTTTATTCTTCTTTTTCAGCCATTCCCCATAGCATTCGTACATGTTTTCACAGTAGAAGGCACTTTGGGCACTAAATTCAATCCGGTTGACTTTATACTCGGCACACACTTACACCAGCATCTGAAGATGTGCGCTGAACATTGACGTCATCATGACGTCATCAGGTAACTCAAGCGTCACAATATAGGTGCATATTTTGAAGGCTGATATTTTCATAACTACAGGTTCGATTGGGTTGAAACTTGGTATGTACATGTACGTAAACCGGGATGTGTTATAGATGAAAATTTACGTGACGTCACGATGACGTCATCAGTTGACAAGTGACGTCATATTTAATGTGCACATTCTAACGGCCAATATCTACAAAACTACAGGTCTGATTGGGTTGAAAGTTGGTATGTACCTAGACTGGGATGTGTTATAGATGAAAATAGAAGTGCACCATGATGACGGCATCATGGGTTACGTGACATCAGGTTAATGATTAATAGATTTAATCTTTAAAAATCAATATAAATCAACCGTGAGAGACTTGCACATGATTTTTGCGGGAATTGATAGAATAATCCAGGGTTTTCATTTTTGATATGTGTAAAATCATGTGACCCTTGCTTCCGGTTGAAACCGGAAGTGCCTTATAATTAAAAATTGGTGAAAGATGTGAACTTGCTTTCAACGATGTATGCTTAAAGTTGTTATTTAACAACAACAAAAATAATTATAGATGAAAATTGATATTGATGTCATTATGATGTCATAATTCAAAGCCCTATGAGAATGTAATCACATATTATATGCTACCAGTTATTAAAAACAGAAGTACATATCCTTCCTGGATGGAACTTATACTTGAAACTTTACTGGTGACCTGTCACAAAAAGTTAACTGAAACAGCCCTGTGTTTGCCACATATGTCTAGTTAGCATTATTGTTATTGTAATTATAGTTAGTTGGAGTTATAGTTGTAATTATAGTTGTTTTATGGTGGTTAAAGTACGACTTTAACTATTATAGCTATTATTCATACCGTCAACGATAATTGTTCGTCTTGGTGAGTTTGTAGCATTGTGGGTTTAGTGAGGTACCTTAGTGACAAAAATGCCAAGGATCGTGACACGGTGGACAAAAGCACCATTTTTTTCACCAAAGCATCTCCATGGTATACCTTATCGAAAAAAAGACGGACGCAAAAAATTGGATGATGGGAAGGGCATGTATGACGTCATTATGACTTCATCAGCTAATTATTACATGAAATATATATAAATTGATAATATCTTCTGAACTACAACCATCACAACAACAAAAGTCGCATCAAATAAAAGGGAACAACAAGATCTTTCATTTGAGTGGTATGTCAGGGGTGTGGAATGTAGTAAAGGGTGGTTTTGGGGGCCAAAAAGCACTTTTTTGGTAAAAAACCCTGATTTTTGGCTAAATTCATGTATTTTTGTTTGGCACCTTGTTTAACATGCAAACCGTATGTGTTATTGTGAGATTTTGTTTTGAAGTCAGAGGAAAAGGTTCAAATTCTATGCCAAAAGAGTTTTTGCAATTGATTATTATTTTTTTTAATTGATTATTAGTATCTTAAATGCGTACACTTGAAAAACATATAAATTGATAATATCTTCAGAACGACAAGCATTACAACAACAAATGTGGTATCAAATTAAAGGGAACAACAAGATCTTTCATTTGAGTGGTATGTCAGTGGGATGGAATGTAGTACAGGGTGGGTTTTTTGCCCAAAAGTACCCTTTTTGGTAAAACAAAAACAAAATTGGTGCTTAAATCATGGATTTGGGGTAATCATTTTGGCACCTTGTTTTAACATGCAAACCGTAAGTGGTATTGTGAGTTTTGGTTCTTAAGTCAGAGAGAATGGTTCAAATACTATGCCAAAAGAGTTTTCGTAATTGATTATTGGTATCTTAAATGTTTAAACTTATTCCAAAGATAGGTGGACAAAAAAATGTAACATAAGTTACAGTCGGGTGCCCATTCCAGTGGATCTCAGTTACAGATTCATCACATGTCTCGTTGTCGAGCTTGGAGGGGTTGGGCAATCTGCCGGGTGCATCTGCGATCACCATCATAGCACCAGGTTTGTAGACATCGTCGAAGTTGTATCCTTGTAGCTTAAGACGCTGCAAGCGGTGTGGTGTACTGGCTAGGATTTTGCGCCAGATCGTAACCAATGGTTTTAATGGTCAGTGACAACAATGAAGTTGGAGCCGAATGAAGTTGCAGCAGTGCCACAGCTTCCCTCTCGATATTCGAGAATATGCTCTGGGAAGAGGATCTATAGGCTCTTCGAGGAAAATGTGATGGGTTTACTTTCCTGGGTGTTGCCCAATCCTCTTTCAGATGCATCTACTTTGAGGATTGTTTCTATACCTGTGTGTCGGAGAATCGTAGCCAGGACTGAGTTCAGATGGAGTGTTTAAGGGTTGTAAAAGAAGCTTGATGGTCCTCTTCCCAGAGAAATGGTACATCTTTTCGAAGAAGATCGCTGAAGGGAGTAACTTTGTCTGCGCAATTTGGGGTGTACAGTGTGAGACATTGTTGACTATGCTAAGGAACCAGCAGTTTCCATCAGGGCTATGAGACATTCGGCCGCTCGTCATGCTCTTCAAGGGAGACCGAACACTGCAATGTCGTCCCGGTGATTGTTCCAATGCATCAAGGCATCTAGCTTATTTTGCCATCAATATTTTTGGGGACCATTATCTTGGCTTACTGATAAGCCGATGAATGGGCGACGAAAGCTGTTAACAACCAAATTGTATGTTGTCAGTTTTTTCAGACTGCCCTAGGTGAGCAGACCAATACTCTGCTGTTGACGTCTAGCTTGGAGGAGAACCTTTCCAGTGCAAATTCTGGCTTGAGCTCCTCAAGAGTGGGGATCTTTAGAAAACATTATGTGCTTAGCTGCTTGGGATCCGGACACATCCTGAACGGGCCGTCTTTAACTGTGATAGAGCTGCACCCGTCCGTGTGATGGGAGACTTTTCGTATGACCCAGCCTTTCTCAG